GCGGTAAGCCATGTGACCCTGAGGTGCGGACGGTTCGGCCGTCGGCGCCGGTTAGAGGGGGCCATGTGCGGTGAACCATGTGACCCTGAGGTGCGGGCGGTTCGGCCGTCGGCGCCGATTAGAGGGGGGGGGGGGGCATGTGCGGTGAGCCATGTGACCCTGAGGTGCGGACTTCTCAGCCGTCGGCGCCAGTTAGAGGGGGCCATGTGAGGGCTGGTGGCGCCGGTCAGCCTGCAGGAATGCGGTCCGGCCAGACCGGTCGGCCGATTCGTGACATTTGCCGCTGAGTGGCTCCCGCCGATGGCACCTGAACCACCAGAGCCGCTCGCTCCGCTTGCCTCGCCGCACGGACTAGTTTTTTGTTTCGAGTCTTTTGTGCTGTTTTTTTTGTAGAAGGTGGCTTTATGCCGTTAGATGACAAAGCTGACCTTCATCATTGGTGAGCAGTTTGCTTAAGAAAAAAGTGTCAACCTGGGGTGACGTGACTGAGCTTAAGATCAATTTTCCTTGTCACGATGTGTCGACATCACAACACGCCTTTTGCTTCAACCCTCGCGAACACTTCACTTTTCACGCTGTAGTCACTGACTCATTCAAGCCAAAGTATGGTAGGTCTTTTTGATAGGCCAATTTGACGACAGGTTCCACCCCATGAACATGCGTCCAGAGATTTGAAACTCGTTTTCCGTCGTCCGATGCCGTCGTCGGGAAGATGCCAAACATTCACCCCATCATTCACGTGTGATCGTGTATCTCAGTATCATGTCATATCTCGACAGCGCTGACATACTCAGCAACCATGTCATCCGTTACTGAGTTTCCGCGCCTGTCAACGACATACACAAGTGCAGAATGCTCACGCAATCTGTCTGAAAGCCTGAGTGACGCTTACACTGGAAAGCATCGCGCTCCCCCATGCCGGCGGTCATCAACCGACCAGGTTATGTCGATCATCACATGAAAAAATCATAAATTTCCATACTGTGCGTAGCGCTTGCAGCACCAGCTAATTGAACAGGCTTTTATTTGACTCTATTGTTACCATTCTTTTCGAACCCTCTCCCTCCTTTCTCTCTAGTTCCGCCAGCACTGACCCGTGGAGAACAACGGCCGCTCTTCTCTCATAGTGGTTTCCGTCCGGGATTTTCATCACCAGCCCATTATGTCTAACAATAGAAAACAATTGTGTCTTACCGCCGGGAGGTCAAAGGTGCTAGTAATGGTGGTAATGCGTCACAATCCACCCACCATTTCGTTTGATTTGATTGGGGCCCGTCCGCGTTATGACATCCCAATTAGAAACTTCCCCGCGCGTTAAAGTGGCGATCTGTTTCGACTTGCATACACAAGTGTTGTCATGCCATCTCACAAATGAGCATTGATTATGCCGAGTGCATAAACTCGTCAAAAACATAAACACGTCACAAAGCAAATTTACAATGCTATGCTATATTAGCATGAGAGAGGGAAACAGCTGTTGGTTCTCTGCCAAGGAAGTAACTGCGTGAGGTAAAGACTAACTACGTTTATATGCCAGGTAAAGGGATAATTAAAAGTATTTAATTAAGAAACTTAATTAATTATCGGCTTATTTGACAGTGTTGTAATCTTAGACCCGGAAACCTTTCATGCATTAATTGTTAATACGGGTTGGGCTGTTATTCGGTTGTTCTGCTTGAAGAGAAACATCAGGCAACAGTGCGGGAGCGGACCAATCTTGTGATCCTCCGCCACCCCTGACCTTTACCCTGGACCTTTCGCGCCGTCATCTCCCCCGCGTCTTTCCCATTTGCGGCTGACAAAAACAGCCGGCCAGCCAGCGGCACACACGTGTGGCAGGATCGATCATCCCAACCGGCTTTGGAGGCCAAACGTGCCGGGCACCGGCGCCGTGTCACCACGGCCTGCCGACGTGACCGCGACACAGTCACGACCTGACGCGCCCGGCATGACCTCTGGCGCGTCCGGCCGGTGATGGGGCGCGGCTGCCGCGACCGCCCACTCGGGGCGAGTCGCCGTTCGCGGTGCCATGTCGTGGCGGGCGACGCCCGGTGTCGTGCCGCGCCGTCGTCTGATCGGCGCCG